ATGTGTGTCTCGGTGCTTACGCAATAAAGTATTCTTATTCTTATTATGCTATTGAAGAACATTGCCGCCAGCTATGACACGTATAGCCTACGTTTGGTATAAAACAGGCAATTACAATCATACATCTGCATTTTTCTGGCTGACGGCTGACAGGCATAGGTATTGGTGTTCGTAAGTAATCATATATGCAAAACGGTTAGGCCGTGCTTTTGTTAATTCCCGTCACAGGGTACAGTATTAAACGCCATCCATTTAAATTAGGTATTTGATCTTCTTATTATATCTTATTATATATCTACAGAATATTTTGACGCGTGTCTGATACAAATATCAAAGTTCACAAATTACCCTTAATCTCTTTTACACTACCTGCCTACAAAATATTTTCCTTGCCATAAATACTGTTTCATAGTTATATATAAACCACACATACATTTCACTTATTTTTTACATACCTACACACAAACACACACCTTTAAGCAAAACAACCATTCATTTACAATTATTATACAACCACACAACTTACTCACACATTTACATCTTCCATCTTTTTTTTATTTTCTTTCCAGTTACCTTGTCCACGTTTTATAGCTTATATAATAACTTATTCACTAAACAATTAATATTATAACTACATACCTAACATTCTAAATTTCTAACTCCGTGTTGATTCTCCATTCTGAGTTACTTCTTTACCGGCTCACTTTAGGACCTGGCAGAATCATCAGCGTCATAGTTCGACTGATCTGCGGCATAATGCTGAGTCGGGCCCTTTTTGCTGACACAGTACACTCAAGTCTACACCTGATACAATATAACAATATAACACTTCAGATTACACCCGCAAACCTAGACCAGTCTTTTTCTTTATGATTACTATTGTACCTATGTCATAAGCTTGTTTGTAATGTACTGTGATTCAGCAAATAAACGAGTAACCTATCTACCTTTATCTATCTATTATAGCTATTTTAAAGCGTTAACAGACTAGTAGGAGAAACCATGTTATCTTTTTTTTTATACGATACTGAGCGACTGCCACTGCGCCCGACACCCTGAGACATAAGTTCAAAAGTCCCATGTGCCTGTAATTTCACCAGCACCCCTTACACTTCTGAACCGGAACGCAGTAACGCTGATATTACTGCCTGGCGGCAAGAAAAGGGTAAGGAGGCAGAGTACTTCCCTGGACGCACTCTTTCACAAGGAGCTCTACTGCTACTAAAGTCTTGTTTCTGGCACCGGGTGCATCACTATCGTCCAATTAATAATACAAATAGAACAATATACACGTTTACTATTTGACGTAATTTTTTAAACACCGACCGTTTCAATTCTATTGTTAATGGCGCGTGTGTAGACCCACGTTATGCAACGCGAGTGCACCGCAATGTTATGGGAATGTGTGCGTCCGCGAGCGTGCACACAACAAGTCGCGTTGCAACGTTTGTATGAAGTTACCACACTATTTTTTTTATAATAATAAAGTGACGGGACGAATAAGTCGTGCGCCTGATGGTAAGCGACACGCCATAACAGCTGCAGTGCCACTGAGAGTCGTATTCCAGAACTCTACTCAATACTCAAGTCAGGACTTGAGTATTGCAGTGAGCACTGAAAATCATACTCAAGTCCTTGCCATTAGGGTCGTATTTCCAGTGCTTGAAATCATACTCAAATCTGCTCAAATCCTGACTTGAGCTTTGAGTAGAGTTCTAGAATACGACTCTCAGAGTTTTAAAACACAAAGATCTGACATGCACTGCCACTGCGCCCGTCACTCTGATATATAAGTTGACAAATCCCATGTGCCTGTATTTTCACCAGCACCCTTCAAAATCGGAACGCAGTAATGTTGACATTACTGCTTGGCGGCTGAAATTAGGTAAGGTAGCAGTACTACCCAGAACGAACACTTTTACAAGGAGTTCTGCTGCTACTACACTACTTGACTTATTATACTATGTAAATACCCTCTCTTAAAAGAGACACCATGCCATGGGATGTATAATATATAATAAAGGTCACACTGATGCAAGTTAACAGGTCATGGCACTTATGAGTCAAGTTGCGTTGTTCCAACATTATGACATATATTTTAATAAGGAAAAGTAATGTTGGGTATGACGAGCCGCACGAGTCAAGGATTCTTACCCAAGGTGGAACAGTCGATTTATTCAGAAAGTAAATAAATATTTTGAAGCAATTCTTTGTTTTCTACAAAGAGGTCAAGTTCAGAGTAAAGAGGTTCCCTGAAGCTATTGTGTAGGAAAAGTTACATGAAGCTACATCGCAAGAAAATTGAAAGACGTTAAATCTTTTAATATTTATTTGTTATTTTATCTGTTTGGTTATTTAACCTATTATTGTAGGGCACTGATATCTCCTCTCTTCTACAGCTCTTGGTTTGATTCCAGTCTGTCCCTTCTACACGCGTCCAAATTATCCGTCTTTTCCTTGGTCTGCCTCGTCGTCGCTGGCCATTATCCAACATCAACAAGGTTGTGTGTGCTTATGTCTGCGTGTATCAGACAGACGTCTCCAGCCCAGTAGCTATGCGTGTCTTCGCATATCTATCCCCTCTTTACACCCAATATCCTTTCCATCGCTCTTTGGCAAACCTTGATCTTGAATTCTTGATTTTCGATGAAAGACCATGTTTGCACACTCTTTATCACAAAGTTCAAATTGAACAGTACTTGTTTTTGGGGGCCCTTTTTTGTTAGTAAGTCATTGTTACCTGTTGACTTCCTTTACCTTTGTACATTGTGAAACTTGTTCATCTCATTCACTAACTCATCGTCAGCTCCCGGCCAACGTTCATATAGCTACAAAATGTCTCTTTAGTCTATATATAGGGTGAATTTAATTTCACCACAGAAACTTTAAGCGATGATAAAAATAAGCACAACTTTTACTAAACCGTTTTCTATATACAAAATAAAAAACTTAAATTAAAATGTAAAAAAAAACAAAAAGTCACGGAAGTTTTGAAGTCGGAAAAATAAATTTATGTTTCTGGTTTCCGTCCATTTTAATCACTGTACTGTCGGGATAATCACCGACACTGAAGTCTTATTTGAAAGTCCATGCGGTTTTTGTAACTAATCGTGTGCGAGTGCTCGTGCGAGTTATGTTACATTTTTTTTGTAAGCTGGCGGCTGGATGTGATGTCATAAAAAAAACAAAGATGCGTTTAAAAATTTCAAAAAGGTACTTCAAATTCAGATTTGATATGACAATTTTGTATAGAAAATACTTTTGTTTTTCGGTTTGTGAGACGGGTCCGTGTAAAAGTTGTTCATGTTGATGGGAACTCGATAACATTCCTAAATTGTCTCAGGCGAATTAAATTTCAAGATTTATACAAAAGCTTAACAGAGATGCAAAGGTATCCAGTAACCAGAAAATACCGACGAAATTAAATGGTTTTCGTTAGCGTTAAAAGCTTTCCAAGCAAAAGGTATTCCACATTATTCATAATCACAGGAAAACGATTCTACTAAAGCCAGATTAATGTCGGTCACTCCAAATTAAAATGTATTCCTTAAGGAAAGTTGTCCCCTTGAAGAATTAAAAAGGACTTTAGTAAAAGGCCATACTTAAGATTGGATTGTAATAATTAAATTCTGTATTTCGATTGTAGATAAGCGACACTTCACCGTCGCTACAAGTTCCACTGTCGTTCAATGGCCGAATAGCAACTCCTGGGGTCGTATTCTAGAACTCTATTCAATGCTCAAGTCAGGATTGCATTGGCAACACAAGCACTGGAAATACGACCCTAATGGCAGGGACTTGAGTATGATTTCTAGTGCTTTGAATCATACTCAAGTCCTGACTTAAGCATTGAGTAGAATTCTAGAATACGACCCTTAGAGTTTCATATCCATTCTTCTTGGGAGGATATGCTTTCCGAATGAGTAGTAATGTTTAACCAATGCCATGATTACAAATATAAACTATTTACCTATGAAATAGAGATATTTTTTTTAATTTGAATCTGGAGTGAAACAAAAACGACACCCAATTTTTAACTTGTTAGGTGAATCGAGTACTCGAGTTTTCGCGGTTGTTACACGTAGGACATGAAACCATTCATTTGGATCCAAATCGGGGATATTAAACAAAACCACCGATCGGGCTGTTTACATGTCCCTAGGTACTAAAAAATAGTTTCATTTCCTGTTCGTTAGGAGAATTTTTAATTGAATCTGTCACAACATGATTAAATTCATTACTTAACATGTTTCTTAGTTGACCTTAAAGAGGTCGCATTGTAGGCGAACAAACTTAAAAAATGTTTTCACCAATACAGATATTAATTTTAACCACATATGCTAATTCCGTGACTATAGCTAGCAAACATTATAACCTTTAAACTTGATTAGAACACACAAGTTTTGTAATAACATGATACTGCATCACGTCAAAATTGTTATTGCAATCGTGCTGTATGTACTCCGATAGATACAAGTTGTATAACCTTAAATAGTATATGTTTTATCACTTTTTTATACAGAATACTATATTAGCTTATAGTCTATACTTTTTCAGACAAAATAAAAAATAATTAATTTACTGGCAATCGACCATTTGGTCGGGTCAGAAAATGAAGCAAGCAATTTTTTGAAAATCATTTAATGCAATATTACTTACTTTCAATAACTACAATATTGATATTAATTTTCCTCCGTATCGCATAGCCGTGGGACACCCTGTATAAGTATTTAAATAATTATTAATTTACTTATTTTTTACGTCAAAAAATGTTATGATTAAAGAAGATGAGTTTTTAGAAGACGGATTAATGGTATTTATGTTCGTCTCTGTATGCTAAGTACAAAATCCTATTATTCTGCAATGTTGAAAAAGGCAGCAGTATGGTACATTTATTGCCATAGGCAATTATAGAGTTGTCCGAAACTGATAAATAATTTGACGGCTTTTTTTGTTATCGTGTACTAGTTTTGTTGAAGTAGGTCAATATTTTGACACAATGACATGCACTGTGATCACCTGGCGACTGGAGAGCTCCGAGTAGTGTTAGCGGATCGGATGCAACCGATTTCTCTTTTTACTGACTTCGCGCTTAACAAACACACGATTTTCTTCTTTAAGTAATGAAATCATGTTGTGATTGATTCAGTAAAATGGCCCAAGCCATAGCTGTTAATTTTTTTAATTGTTACGCATTTGTATTCAAATTGGACGGATACTGACGATTAAGTGTTTATGAGACAGTCGCTACTCCAGAGAGAACAGAGCTCTTTGTAAATGAGTTCGTACAGGAAAGTATTGCCACTTTGCCTATATATGACGCCGAGTAGTAATCCTTTCATTACTGTGTTCCGGTTTTGAAGAGTTAAGGGTGTTGGTAAAATTACAGCCATATACTTAGTTTCGAATGCAATAACAGTGCCTTTCAGCGCTTACCACCAGGCCCACGATTCGTTCGCCCCGTCATGTGTCATGTCATATGCGTGCCAAATACAACAGGCTAACAAATACAACAAAAACAGGCTTTTTTACAAACCATCTTCTTGACCAATTCGGTGTCTGTGAGATAGATCGCTATTCTAGTAAGCCACCAATATGTAGGTACCATGGCGAAGGTTTCAAATAACGCTACTACCATAGACTTAAAAAAAAGTCATACATTGCAACATTTGCTGCGTACCTACAAAGACTTACTTTCCTAACATACCACAGATCACCAGTGGCACGTAAGTACAATCTGATTTTGTTATGACAT